CAGCACCAGCTTCTTCCCTGCTGGCGAGCAGTGGGTTGGGGCTGTGCGCTGCCCCTGGCCTGTACTGCGGGGCTGGGGGGCACTGGGAGCATGGGGCCTGGTGTCCTGGGGCCAGTGCCGGTGGGGCCCAGAGCAGGGTGCAGGAGCACAGAGTCCCAGCTGGCAGGGGCTCTATGGAGCTGGACCAGCTCCTCCCTCTCCCTGCTGGTGCAGCCCAGCCCAGCTCCACAGACCTCTGCTAGCCTGTGCCTCGCTTTGGGCCCCACCGGTGCTGGCCCTGGGACATTGGTCCCAAGATGGTAACCACAGGGCAGGGCACCTGTCAAGGGGTGGGGCTACCCATGTGGCCCTCAACAGCCTGCCAAAACTGGGTAAGCAGCCCTCCACCCAAAAGAATTGCCCGCCCCCGCTTTATGGTCTACATACAAATACTACATAGATGACAAGTGGCCCCTGGTCTCCCCTTTGCAATCATAGAAAATTAGGGTTGAAAGGGACCTCAGGAGGTCATCTAGTCCAACCTCCTGCTCAGAGCAGGACCACTAGATCATCCCAGTCAAAGCTTTGTCTACCTGGGCCTTAAAAAACCCTCCAAGGATGGAGATTTCACCACCTCTCTGGGTAACCTGTTCCAGGATTTACTACTCTCCTAATGAGAAAGTTTTTCCTAATATCGAACCTAATCTTCCCCTGCACCAACTTGAGACCGTTGCTCCTTGTTCCGTGACTGAGAACAGTCTAGCTCCATCCTCTTCACAACCACCCTTCAGGTAGTTGAAGACTTATATTAAATCCCCTTTCCGACTTCTCTGCTCCAGACTAAATAAGCCCAGTTCCCTCAGCCTCTCCTCAGAAGTCATGTGCCCCAGTCCTCTAACCATTTTCATTGCCCTCTACTGGACTCTCACCAATTTGTCTATATCCTTTCTGTAGTGGGGAGTCCAAAACTGGACCTAGTACTCCAGAAGCAGCCTCACCACTGCTGAAAAGAGAAGAACAATCACTTTCCTCAATCTGCTGGCAGCGGTGCTCCTACTAGTATAGCTAGTAGGACGTTGGCCTTCTTTGCAACAAGAGGACATTGTTGACTCATATTCAGTTTATTATCCACTGTAACCCCAAGTCCTTTGCTGCAGAGCTGCTGCTTAGCCAATTAGGCCATAGCTTTACTGGTGTGTGGGATTGTTCTGTTCTAAGTGCAAGATTTCTCACTTGCCCATACTGAACCTCATGAGATCTCCTTTGGTCCAGTCCCCTAGTTTGTCAAGGTCTCTCTAAATCTAGCTCTGAATCAACTTTGTTGTCATCTGATAACTTGCTGAGGATGCTCTCCATCCCACCTTCCAGGTTGCTGATGAAGGTATTGAACAAAATCAGCCCCAGGACTGACCCCTGGGGCGCACCACTTGATACTGGCTGCTAGCTAGAATCGAGCCATTACTATCCTTTGAGCCTGATGAGCCAGCCAGTTTTCTATCCAACCTACAGTCTATTCATCCAACCCATACTTGCATAACTTGCTTGCAAGAATGTTATGGGAGCCCATATTAAAAACCTTGCTAAACTCAAGGAATATCGTGTCCACTGCTCTCCCCACATCCACAGAGCCAGTCATCTCACTACAGAAACCAATCAAGCTGGTCAGGCATGACTTGCACCTGGTGAATCCATGCTGACTGTTCCTGATCACTTTCTTCTCCTACAAGCATTCAGAAATGGATTCCTTGAGGGCCTGCTCCGTGATTTTTCTAGGGACTGAGGTGAGACTAACGGGTCTGTAGTTCCAGAATCCTCCTCCTTCTCTTGCTTAAAAATGGGCACTATAGTTGCCCTTTTCCAGTCGTCAGGGATCTCTCCCAATTACCATGAGTTTTGAAATATAATGGCCAGTGGCCCTGCAATCATATCGGCCAACTCCCCATAGCACCCTCAGGTGCATTATGTCCCGTCCCCATGGACTTGTACATGTCCAGCTTCTCTAAATAGTCCCTAACCTGTTCTTTCACCCCTGCTATCTGTTCACCTTCTCCCCAAACTGTACTGTCACATGCAGTGGTCCAGAAGCTGACCTTTCCTGTGAAGACCAAGGTAAAAAAGGCATTGTGTACTTCTCAGTCTTCTCCATATCATTTCACTAGGTTGCCTTCCCCATTCAGTAAGGGACCCACACTTTCCCTGATCTTCCTCTTGTTGCTGACATGCTTATAGAAACCTTTCCTGTTACCTTTTACATCCCTTGCTAGCTACATCTCCAACTGTGTTTTGGTCTTCCTGATTTAATTCTTACATGCCCAAGCAATACTCTTATACTCCTCCCTAGTCATCTGTCCAAATTTCCACTTCTTGTAAGTCTCACCTGGCTCCAACAAAGGGCTATCCCATGCAGACTGTCATATAGTGCTTTTGTGCGATTTGTATTCCCCACATATTGTAAACCTTGCCAAATTCAAATAGTTCAAAAGACACATATGGGTCGAGGCAAATAGGCTGAGAGCTCCTTTAGTGGTGAACAAATCAGAAAGGATGAAGACTGTCAGAAGTAGCTGTCAGTCAGGTCAATTATAAAGCCACAAGAATAAAATCCAAGGCTCAGTTTACTAGGACAGGAACCCTTTGGTGTTACAAATGGATTTGTAATATCTGTCTAATCCATTACATTGTGTATGCCAATAATATACAAATCTGATGAGTGCTGTAGTCACAGTGCACTGTTTCTACATACAATAAAAGTGTCTACAACAGGTCTATCCTTTATCCTAAGAAGCAATATGTGGCATTTTGAACTATGGGAAAACTAGAGATGCCTAAGCATCAGCAACAAGTCAGAGAGGTCTGGTTAGCACTACTACACACCGCATAGATTTAAACTGATTTATTCTGCTCTCCAATAAATGTATTCACTATGATCTTTAACGATAATACTGTACTTACCATGCTGCACATGAGAATTAACAATACAGCTGAGGTGATCTATAGACCTAATGAGAAAACGTGCTTCCTTATATAAAGGGGGGGAAATAAAAAAAAGAGAAGTTATTCAGTAATTCAATTCTGGTTCCAAAGGCAAATTGTGAATTCTTGAAGTAGTGTGTGTAGACTATTTTAAACCAACTAATTTTCCACAGTTAAAAAGGCTAACAATTTTAGTTAAAAAAACTCAAATTTTAAATGCCCTGTCACCAAACAAATGCACTTACATGTGCATACTTTTAAAGCTAATCAAAATCTGTGATTCTACTGTAATTTTCCAGACTTGTTTCAGCTTCTACACTGATGACTTATCTCTAGCTGAAAGATTTCCCTCTTAACTACTTATATACTTATACAGATAAAAGATCTATTTGTTTGTTTAAAGAACTAAACTGCTAAAACTTCTTGGTTGTTTTAGAGTCCATCTTTAAAAATCCAAAAACAAGATGTTCTATCACACACACTTACTAAGACTGAGGGATATCAATCGCAGCTGACAAGCACAGACTGTTTGTGCCCCCACTTACCCTCTGAGTATGAGTTCAACCAGTAGTTACAAACATTAGTAAAACTGGGGGAGGGAAGTGGGCTAAAAGCAATTTGGTAAACAATTTCCAGCCGAAAAATTTCTCTGTAGGGGCTAGTAAAGTCTTAAGGCAAAAATAATTTAAGTGTATCAATACATTATTTCCCATTCCTTGTATAAATCGTATTAAGGTATACAACCAGAAAGAGACAGAGAGAGACAGAGACCACAATCTACTGTAGCATATGCTGAAAATGTAAGGAACTGTTGCAACACAAGAATTCTAATTCAGTGGTGCATACTTAAGCTATTCAGTATTGTGAATGAAAGGTATAAAAGATGAATTCCCAAACACCCCAATATAAAAGCCTGACACTGTCTGACAATCACATAATCCCAAAAACTATATTTCTTTCTTTTATCATTTAAGATTTATTTGCCATTTTATCCCATCTAGTTTTGATTTTCTCTGTAAATGGGTATAAAAGTACTTGCAGAAGGGCATGTCTACATGTGCTTTCAAGCATGCCTAATCTTAATGCATATTAGCTTAACGTGTACTAAGGCAATTTAGGTGTGTGTCCATACATGGACGTGCTACTGCGCATTAACATGGGTATGCAGACTGATTTGGGACTAAAGTTAGTCCCAAAACAATGGACACATACTGCGTTAATGTGCATTAGTGTGTCTACATGTTTGCTAATGCAATTTAACTATTTGCGTATAAATTTGACACCTGCTTTATGCAGGTGTCAAATTTAGACTCGCGTAGCCTTAACTCACCATTTTTAAGGCGCATTTAGGGCATGCATGTGTAGACATGTGCCCTTAGTGCACCTTACATCGAGCTACTACACATTAAATGTGCACATGTAGACACACCCTAAGAAAAGCAGTGTTAAATATATTGAAAAATTTAAATTAAATTACCTCTGGGTCTTTATTCCATTGAACTATATACTCCCAACAACAGTGTGCATATAACACATCTGATTCAAGGCTACAAGGAAACTGCTGATAGGCCAATTGCAACAACTCTAAAAAATAAATAGAAGAAGTTATAAAGCAGTGTTTTCATCCCATTTTATTTTCTACTAGTTAACTATAACTCTATCACTTTTGCCACCTCTGAAGAATCTGAAGTCTGAAAACACAACGTCATATTCTTACTGAGGATAGTTTCCAAGCCCGTCTCTGCTTCTGACTCCCCCAGTGAAACAGTACTGTCATTTTCTACAGGTTCTTCTGAACTTTCTTTGTCTTTTTTCCGGGCTAGCTCCAGTACGTTGAAACTGAGGTCTTGTTTAAAGACCCATTTTGCTACAGTGTCAGCAATACCTCCTGAGACAAAAGAAAAGGTATAAGGCATAGTCAACATTTTCCTGGCTATATTTAGTAGAACTTAACTGTTTTGAAACATGAATGACAAAACTCTTCTGTTGGTTATCAGAAACCTTAACTTAGTCAATGACATCTTTAAAAATCGAAAACTGATTTGAAGTTTACAATGCAATCTGCAAGGACATAAGAACACCAAAACTCTGCCCAATAACGATTTTGATGCAAGTCTTTTTTTTTTTAAAGTTCTCAGAAGTCACAAGTGGAGTCACTGCAAGAAGGTACTGGAAAAAATTTGAGTCAGGGCTATAGAATCTGTCACTGAATTATGTAAGACAACTAATCAAATCATCTTTGTAAGGAGTATACCTTTCCCGCCTTCAAGCAGCTTCTTTACAGAGAGTCTACAGAGTGGCTCAGTCTGTAGAGAGGAAACTTTGGTTGTCCTCTTGCTCACTTTACTGTTCAATAGCATCTGAAGTATCAGACAATCTTCTAATTGCTTCAGAAGAAGTTTCCAATATTCTGTATCAAGAGAAAGTGCTTCCCAAGAGTCTGTGTCAGTGCCTACAATTGTTTGGGAAAACTAACAAAACATAGTATATGAGCTTTTTGCAGATATATTAAAGTTTTCATTTAAGGCAGGAAACATTAACATTGAAATATACATCTATTATATTTAAGAAAACTTACCATTTGAATGTACAGACATTGACATTTATGCAAAAATAAACTGCAACTCAAATTTACTCACACCTTCATAGTTTCATAGTTTCTAGGGTCGGAAGGGACCTGGGCAGATCATCTAGTCGGACCCCCTGCCATGGCAGGAAAGAGTACTGGGGTCAAACGACCCCAGCAAGATGGTCATCTAACCTCCTCTTAAAACCCCCCAGGGTGGGAGCCTGCACCACCTCACCTGGAAGCTGGTTCCAGACCCTAGCCGCCCTGACCGTGAAGTAGCGCCTCCTGATGTCCA